AACATCCTAATTCAGATGTAATACAAATCTTTTAATTACTTAACTTTTAATCCATTAAAACTAATAAAATATTTGAGCAAATTTTGTGAAATATGGCACATTACAACAATTTTACAAGCTCGGGGTTTGATTGCCAAAATTCTAAGTTTGGGGGCTAATTTGCTAAACCATGGTAAGTTTAGGAGTTGATTGTGCTTGAGATTTGATCTTAATCTCATTTTAGTCTCTTAACTTTTAAAATGTCTCACTGTTGGCTCTTGAGGTTTTATTTTATTTCAGTTTCAGTCTTGTTTGTTAAGTATTAAGGCCCCGTTCTTTCCGCTGATTCGAGTTTAGAATTTGAGTTTTGCTATAGTAAAAAGCTCTCAGAAATAGTCACATCTAATTTTTTTGCTACAGTAAAAAGTTCTCACACAACATCACATCTCAACTCGAATTAGTGAACCGAACGGGCCCTAAATATTTGACATAATTTGTGAAAATTAGAGATTAAAATTGGAAACATCTATGGCATGTTTACCTACGCGTAATCGGAATGAACATGAATCGGAGTGGGCAGGATTCAGAGTGGGTAGGATTTGAAGTAAGGAATCGGAGTTAGAATAAGCTGTTTACTTAGTTATAGGATTTGGAATCATTCCAAATCTCATTTATACGTTTACTTACACCCAGAATCGGAATAAAAAAATGTAAAAGTACTAATATACCCTTTAAATCAATTTGATATTTTCAATTTAAAAAATATATTGTGTACTTATTATATTAAAATTAATCATAATTAAAATATTTAGTGTAATAATTAGGTACTAAAATAATAAATATAAATTGTACAACTATTTAAAATATAAAAATAAATTTTAAAAAAATTTAAATAATACAAATAAAAATAAAAAATAGTGTTAAAAATAAAATATATTATTAATTTATTAAAAAATAAAGTACATATTTATTATATTAAAGTTAACAATAATTATGCTAATATTATAATATTAGGCAAATAAAATAATAAATATATGTTGCATTTATTATTGTTTGAATTTTATTTTTAATTGTGTATTTATAAGTAAAATAAGGGTATGATAGTAAATTAATATTAATATTAGGAATGCGAGTCTTAATCCCAAGGGGAGTGTTAATCCCTTTCCTCAATCTCAAATTTGAGTGGGACCCACTAATCTCACTCCCATTCTAAGATAAAAAAGAGCAAGTAAACATGAGATTGACTCTCATTCTCCACTTCCATTCTTTAATCCTAGTAAGTAAACATGCCACTAAAGTTTAGAGATTAAAAAAAATCCAAAAAACTAAAATTAATTTCCATTGATAGACTTTAAAACTCAACTGTTTTCAATTTTGATCCCTAATTCATATAGATTTTGTTAAATATTTAATACTAGGGTAATGGAAGGACTAAAACTAAAATAGAATAAAATTTCAAGTACCAATTGTATGACGTTTTAAAGGTCAAAGATTAAGTGGAAATTAAAGGTAAACCTCAGAGACCGAGCCAAGCAAGGGGGACATCAGGTAGGAGAAATGGAAGTTTGGGCTCTAGAGGGATTTGGTGTTGCTGATATTTTACAACAGATGGTTACTTATAAATCTGATCATATTAGAGCTCGTCAAGAAGTACTTGGTACTACAATGGTTGGAGGACCAATACCTAAACCCGTGGATGCTCTCTAAGTGGCCTTAACCTCTAAGTGACGACCTTCACACACTTGTTATGACATTAGAAGAAGATTTAAACATAAGTATATAAAATATTAGCTTACGTCAGTTGCTGTGAAAGCAGAACGGCACCTCAAGGCACCATCCAGAGGTTGCAGCCCATCAAAATCCACGTGCAGCAGTGATCCATCTTTCCTTTTTGGGCGGCGAATGGTAATGTGACTTGTACGAGTGCAGGACCCACACTGCATTTCAAGTTGCAAGATTTCAAGTTACATATCGGCTAATGCTTGTTTGAACACATCAAATAACTTCAAAATAACAACTGAAAACGACCCAATATGAAGGCACAGGGCATTAAAATCATAAAAAAATCATTTAATTTCACAGTCCTGCATGTAGATTATTAGATTTTGCTCCTGTTATGCGACAAGTGACAAGTGCACTCTAACCATAACTGATTCAGTTATGTTGGAACTCTTTGGTGGGGAGCACTTTGATACTTCTCCATCTTTATGTACAAAAAGATTGTATCAAGCAATTCATAAATGACTAAAAATAGTAGGGGTTTTTCCTACACACTAGGGTCAACATAAATGAAATGAGATATAACTAAACAGGATTCAAAAATTGTTAAAATAAGATAACAGCACCTCACGCACCATTAATACAGGTTTCTTTATACGAATACAATATAAAGTTACAAAGATCACAAACCTTAGTCTTCATATTTGCGTACCAACCCCGTCCCAGTGGGAAAATATATTCATCAGAAAGTGTTATGAACTCAGATTGGTAACCACACTGTTCACACAAAATTTTCATCTCAAACATTGACGTGTTCAGAGCTCCAGTAGGGTGTATACTGAAAATTCCTTGCGTTTCAAAAATCACGCAAAGTTTGAAACTCACCATCTGCGTGAAAAGAGCATATAATTAACCCCTAAACCAGGCAAAAACATTAAGGTGATGTTTGGTTCATGTATTCAGAATCATGATTCAGAATCATTTTCGTTTTACGTGTGTATTTTGTGAGAGAAAAACACTGTAGAGAATCATAAATCATGATTCCGAATCAGGAACAAATACAAGAAACAAACGGACACTAAATCACCCTCTACATAATATGGGAGAAATTGTGAACAGATTTGGTTAATAGGAGATAATTGTTTGTTGGACACTCAAAACAAATGGGAAAAAGACAGAACGAAAAAGGAAAAAGGAAGAGAAATCCTTACCTCCTCTAAAAGCTTATAAAGGCAAAATAAAGAAACAAAGAAAATAATCGTAGAAAAACGAAAAATAATCTGCCAGAGTATATAGTGGCCAATGACATTATTAAGGGCTCTCTCAAACCAAAACTCCTAAAGTTAGTGGCCAATGACATTGTTGAGGGCTCTCTTAAACCAAAAGTCTCAATTTACATTATTAGTAAAAAATATATATCCGCAACAAGTCCATTCAGAGCAGTAGAAAGTATAAAATACTTTAGGATAAAATGAATTTGACTAAGGATATAAACCTTGAGATATCAATTCAAACGAAATTTTCACACGCCACAAGTCTTTCTAAAACAGAGGAGACCCCAAGATATCGATTTTCACAGGCTTCTAAACAACCCTCTCATAAACCCTAAGATAAAATTCAAATGTTGTGATGAGAGGGTCGTTTAGAAGCCTGTGGAAATCGATATCTTAGGGTCTCGTCTATTTTGGAAAGACTTGTGGTGTGTGAAAATTTTGTTTGAATTGATATCTCAGGGTTTATATCCTTAGTCAAATTCATTTTGTCCTAGATTATTTTATACTCTCTATGCTGCTCTGAATGGACTTGTTGTGGATATATTTTTTTTTTGCTAATAATGTAAATTGGGACTTTTGGTTTTAAGAGAGCCCTCAACAATGTCATTGGCCGCTAACTTTGGGAGTTTTGATTTGAGAGAGCCCTTAATAATGTCATTGGTCACTATGTACTCTGGCAGATTATTTTTTCGTTTTTCTACAATTGTTTTCTTTGTTTTTTTATTTTGCCTTTATAAACTTTTAGAGGAGGTGAGGATTTCTCTTCCTTTTTCCTTTTTCTTTCTGTCTTTTTTTCATCTGTTTTGAGTGTCCAACAAACAATTAGCTCCTATTAACCAAATATGTTCACAATTTCTCTCATCTTATGTAGAGGGTGATTTAATGCTTTTGCCTGGTTTAGGGGTTAATTATATGCTCTTTTCACGCAGATGGTGAGCTTCAAACTTTACGTGATTTCTAAAACGCAAGGAATTTTCAGTATACACCCTACTGGGGCTCTGAACACGATGATGTTTGAAATGAAAATTTTGTGTGAACAGTGTGGTTACCAGTCTGAGTTCATAACACTTTCTGATGAATATATCTTCCCACTGGGACGGGGTTGGTACGCAAACATGAAGACTAAGATTTGTGATCTTTGTAACTTTATATTGTATTCGTATAAAAAAAACTTGTGTTAATGGTGTGTGAAGTGCTGTTATCTTATTTTAACAGTTTTTGAATCCTATTTAGTTATATCTCATTTCACTTATGCTGACCCCAATGTGTAGGGAAAATCCCTACTATTTTTAGTCATTTATGAATTGCTTGATACAATCTTTTTTACCATAAAGATGAAGAAGTATCAAAGTGCTCCCCGCCAAAGAGTTCTAACAGAACTGAATCAGTTCTGGTTAGAGTGCACCTGTCACTTGTCGCATAACAGGAGCAAAATCTAATGTTCTACACACAGGACTGTGGAATTAAATGTTTTTTTATGTTACTAATGCCTTGTGCGATTGGGTCGTTTTCAGTTGTCACTTTTAAGTTATTTGATGGATGTTCAAACAAGCATTAGCCGATATGTAACTTGAAATCTTAAAATGCAGTGCGGGTTCTGCACTCGTACAGGTCACATTACCATTCGCCGCCCAAAAAGAAAAGATGGATCACTACTGCACGTGGATTTTGATGGACTGCAATCTCTAGATGGTGCCGTTCTGCTTTCAAAGCAACTGACGTAAGCTAATATTTTATATACTTTTGCTTAAATCTTCTTCTAATGTCATAACAAGTGTGTTAAGGCCCTCACTTAGAGAGGTTAAGGCCCTCACTGAATGTTACAATCAGGAGTTATCGAATACTCCTTCCTGTCCGTTGATTTCTCTTCATTTCCTTTGAATTCTGAACTGTTGAGCTGTGTTTAAGTGCTAATTTGAGCAAAAATCCCCCTGGTTCCCTTCCGTTTGAAGTTAATATTCTGGTGTTAGTGCGTGTGTTTGGCTTTGGGAACTCGGTTATTCTAACGAACTGTTTCTGTGCTTACAGATGCACGGGCGTGTTTCAGCCCCATTCATGCTCATGGTTGATGTTGGGGTGTTGAAGTCTCCATCTGGTGATCCAATCACTTGCTTCATGCCAGCATTCGCCGTTGACGTTGATGCTACAGACCCCCACTACATATCCACTGCAAAGGTGTTCTTTGAGAGGGCATAGATTCTGTAGTCTCGCTGGGTGTGGTTTCAAATTTGGACATTTTAGACTATTAAGATCTTGTTTTTGCTCTTACAGTTTGGTGTAACCTGGTGGAACCAGGATTTATGTTACTTTCCACATTTGGACCTTTTGGACGATATGTTGGCACGGTGACTGATGCAGGGTGCTGAAATATGTTTTGGTTGTTTGTTTTATCTCTCTACTTTAAAAAAAAAAAAAAAAATTTGGTCCAACCTTACAGATGGGACATGCCATTTAATAAAAGACGAAGCTCAGTAATTCCAAACCTAAAATTGAAAAAAAAAAAAAAAAATTGTTTAGCTTACTTCGTTGGATACAAGTATCTAAAAAACGAGGGTGTTTGTTTGTTTGTTTTTTTTTTTTTGTTTTTAGGTAGCAAACAAAAAAAAAAAAAAACCCCCCATGAGGTTTGTGGTTAAACTATGTTAGAGGTCGAGAGGTATTTCCTGTGTAAATTTTGGTTGTGTATACCTTTTGTACTTGCTGTGAAAATTAAGCTCGAATTTTCCAGAAAAAGTTAACTATCTACTATGATACTATCCTCCAATTCACCCAATATTATGCTCCGCATTAATGAACGTGAACCTGCTTTCTCGTTGATAAATAATAGGTTTCCAGTATTGAAAACTAAGTCTTATTTTTAGCTCAATTTCATGATACATTTGCCAATAGTTTTCAGAGATCTTTATTTCTAGTACGCCAGTTAACAAATGTTAAGTTATGAAGGTCTCGTTCATTTTACGATTCGAGTTTAGAATTTGAGTTTTGTTACAGTAAAAAGTTCTCAGAAACAGTCACATTTAACTTTTTTGCTACATTAAAAAGTTTACATAAAGTCACATCTCAATTTGAATTAAAAACTCGAATCAGCGAACTAAATAGGCTCGAAGTCTAATTATGTTCAGACGGTTTATTATCTTACACATAAAAAAACGTACTCGTAAGATGTGTGATTTTCTTTTATAAATTTCTTTTTCATTATAGTGAAAGCTGCAACTGCTAAAATGTAGTCTCACATTAAGGTAAATTTACATTTTATTGCTTGCGGTTACATAAAATTAGGGCGTTTAATTCTTAATTGCTAGGGTTTAAAGTAACCAATTAAAATGGCATACGCCCTATGAACAGACATGATGACAGTATCAGAAAATGAACCTTGTCAATGTGCCATCTTGTTAAATAGCTACCTAATTCATGTAGGGAAAAAAAAAAAAAAAAAACTACCTACTTTCTAATTATCTTTACCATTAGTATAACAAATACCACCTCATTGAAGCCAAAACACAAGGGGTTATAATTTTGTGGTTGCTACTTTATAAATTATATATGCACCTTATTGGTATTAATGAAGTTGGGGAAGTTTCAAAGATCGCTCCAGCCATTAAGAACTTTTGCAATGTGCCTTAATTCCATTTCTGCAAAGAGCTTCTTTTTTTTTTTTGGCAGAAACACGAAAGAGCCTATTGCATTTTGAAGAAACAATTTCTAAAATACGTTAATTAACAAAGTTAGATGTAAAGATCAATATTCTTTTTTCCCCCACAAAACCAAGTTTGCGATCTTATCCTTTGATGAGTTTGGGTCGGTTTACATGGTTCTTTTTTTCTCCGGCCGATCATGCGCCACTCTGATTCCTTTTCAGAGGTTGAAAGAAAGAAAGAAAAAAAAAAGGTTTGATTCTTTGATTGATTTTGGGTCCGGAGGAGAAAGACCCAGGTGTTTCTCCAGCCAAATGTGTTTAGGGCATCGCCATTCAACGAGATAGACGTACGTTTGGTTGGAGGATTCAAACCATGTGATTCGAATTATTTTCGATTTACGTGAATTTTTTATGAGAAAAAATACTGTAGCGAACCACGAATCATGATTCGAATCAGGGAACGAATTCTTCTATCAAACATTTAGTTACCGTCGGAATTAAGAATCTTCCTCATTTTTTTATTTTATTCTGAAGGTTTTTTTATCCCTTTATTAAAACAAATAATAATTTATGAGTATTTAGAGTGATATGGCATTGGTGGCCATGTGGCGTATGTCGTCACCGTACATTTGGATCGTGGGTTTTGACGAGTTGCGTACTTCGTTTATTTTATCGATTTAAATTTTTAATTCTAAATTTTTATTATTAAAAATTTTTAAAAAATGTTACATTTAACTTTTTTTATTATAGTTAAAAACTCTTAAAAAATATTACAACTCAGTTCGAATTGAAAACTCAAATTCACGAAATGAACTTAGGGCCCGTTTAGTTTGTTGACTCGAGTTTTTAATTCAAGTTGAGATGTAACTTTATGTGAGAGCTTTTTACTGTAGTAAAAAAGTTAGATGTAACTGTTTCTTAGAATTTTTTACTATAACAAAACTCAAATCGGTAAAATGAATAAAGTTTAATCATAACAACGCTCATTGGAGGTAAGATTATTGACCTTTCACATTCTGCCTCGTTTATTTCACCGATTCGAGTTTTCAGTTTTAGGTTTCTATAGTAAAAAATTCTCAGAAAATGTCACATCTAACTTTTTATGTTACAGTGAAAAGTTCTCATAAAATGTCACATCTCAATTCGAATTGAAAACTTAAATCCACGAAATGAACGAGACAAATAATTATAAAATACAAAACACGTGGCTGCCACGTAGAATCGTGAGTTCACAATTAGTAATAAAAATCATTTCTGTTTTTGGGGGTTGCCATCATACATGCCGTACTTCTGTGGATTACTTAGGCCTCATTCACTTCGCAGATTCGAGTTTTCAATTCGAGCTGAGATGTGACATTTTTTGAGAGCTTTTCACTGTAGCAAAAAAGGTTAGATGTGACATTTTCTAAGAGCTTTTTACTGTAGAAATCTAGAATTGAAAACTCGAATCGGTGAAATGAACGAGGTCTTAGTTAGAGATTTATTCGCCACGTGTCGATTAGTATGTGAGTTGGTGGGATTTGGGTTTTATTTGTGGTGTTGAAATACAATTATGCGCTTTCAAACCACTACACGTGACTAGCATGTGTATCTTTCCGGTGAGCTTTTTAACATATGTTTATGTGCTTAATTTTGAAATGTGGGGATTCGTTACCATTTGCTTCTCCTACTGAACTTTAAAATTTTTGAATGAGTTTTCATCTCTAATCAAAATAATATTAATATGCGAAATTGTGTTTGGTGACTTTTTTTAACCACTTTTTTTTATAAATGATTGAATTTTTTTATTTTATGAAAATGACTATTTTGTTTATACATGATTGATTTATGCACTACAATCAATCAGTGATTGACTGATTCATTATTTATTTTTTCAATGGTTTATCATTAATCAACATGTAAATTGTTGACTGAAATTGATTAATTACTAATTCTTTTTCATTAATTATTATTTAATGTTGATTAATAATAAAGAATAATTGAGTTAATCAGTGATAAATAAGAATCAATTAATAATTGACTGCTGAGTCAATCAATGATTTACCACTAAGTTAATAAAAATGACTATTTTTATAGTTTTGTAAAACTTCAATCATTTATAAAAAAAATCCCTCAAAAAAGGCTATTTATGCTAAATTCCCATATAATAATAATGGTTAGTAATCTTTTTATTATTAATTTTTGGCTTAATTGTATTTGTACACCCCAAATTATTAGTATTTGACAACTTGGATATTGAACTTTTAATTTTAACAAATAAGACCATGAATTTAAAAACTCGTTGCAATTGTGGTCTAGTAATGGAAGGAAATGGCTTGAACCCCATTAAAAACTCGTTGCAGTTGTGGTCTCGTTTCAAAAGTCTGATGTGCTTGAAAGTCCCACATTGAAAAGAGATGAAAATGTCTTCCCTTAATTATTTTATATAAAATGTTATGTATTTTATTTTTTCATCACAACTTACAAGTTAGATAGGTCTAACTTATCTTAAATGTCCATATTTAATAATATGATGAACTTCAATATAAATAAGTTTTCTAATTGAGATTAGATGTAAATCCGTAGTCCTTAAGGGTACATTCTTTTAGGCTTTATGTTTTTGTCTTTTAAGCCATTTTTTATTTTTAATTTTAACTATTTAAATATTAAATATTTGAATGGTTAAAATTTAAGAAGAAAATAGTTCACAAAATTTTTTTTAAGTAAAACAAACTGATCGATAAAAACAAATCAATTGATTAATCGACAGAAGACATTATTCTGTAATTCAATTTTGATTTTAAATTTTCAAAAATCAATATTGTCGGTTCAATTTTAAACCGACCAAAATTATTGATTTTTAACCGATAAACACCTCTAATAAGAAGGTCATTTATGACTATCACTCACTTTTAAAAAGTATGTGATATCTCTAGTAGCCTTTTTCTTAATTTTTTCTTTTCTTTCTCACTCTGTCAAATCGTGCAAAAATTAATCTCTCTCTTTTGCGTGAGGAACATATATCTTTTTGTCCTTCCTCAATTGCACGTCTTTCCGTACATTCCGTACATGATTTTCTGAAAGTGGGGAAGTGAGGAAACGTGCAAAGTTTCCTCTCGCTTTCTCTTCCTTTTTTATTATTATTATTTATATTTTGTTTTTGAGGAAACGTGCGCTGTGCACGTTTCCTCTCCTTTGTTTACTTATTTTTTATATATATAAATGAGAGATGCCAAGAGATTAAGATCATGTTCATTTCGCTGATTTAAATTTATAATAGATCATGTTTATTTCGCTGATTTAAATTTATAATTCGAGTTTTATTACAGTAAAATACTCTAAAAAATAGTTACATCTAACTTTTTACTACAATAAAAAGCTCTCACACAACGTCACATCTCAACTCGAATCAGTGAACCAAACGAGCCCTTAAGTGTGTTCGGCTGCTCCAAAAACTCAAAAAAAGGCAACTCAAGTTCTAACTTTATTTAAATTCATGTTCTTTTAAGTTTGAACTTGAATTTGAACTCAAGTTTGAGACTAAAACTCGAGTTCAAGTGTCCCTTTCAACTCAAATTCAGAAACTCGAACTCAAATTAATGAACAATATTTTTTCTATTATTAAAAATGCTATAACTTTTTCGTTTTAATCCTTATTGAGATAATTTTTTTTCTACGCGTGGACAACGAAAAGACAAATAAAACCCCACCCATATACCATATTAAAATTTTTCATCACCATTGAATTTTTATTAAAATACTATCTAAATACAAATTTAAATTTTGACTCACTCAAACACAAACTCAAAAAAAGATTCTTATCTCAAACCATAACTCAAATGTACACAACCAAATACAAACTCAAGTTACAAC